GTAAGAATCCAGCATGTCAATTTAAATGCTGCTGCTTCCTCTGCTGATCAGTGTGTGATGTGGGTGTGGACTGTGGACCGTTACAAAGGTCCAGCTGAGGTTTTGAGATCCATGCAGGGACACACTGGAAGTATCAGTGCACTGTGTTAAATATCAACATTTGCATAAAGTGTCTGTGGTTTGAATACTAGTTCATTTCTTTGGCATGAAGCCGTTAAAACTGAACATGATTGGATGGATGGCACCAATTGGGTTCGACTGCCTAAGCTGCTGCGGCGGCCTCGATCGTTTCCACTCACGTCGAGCTTAATCCAGGTGGATGTATTGCGGCGCTGAATCCAGCAGACTGTGCTCTGCAGCCGGTGATGCATGTGCTCGAGTAAAGTGGTGTTCTGTGTTGAGAGCGGCAGGAAGGCTGGAACAGATCAGCTATGCCGAGCAAAAGTGTCCGACACATCGGCTCACAGCCAATTGAACACATTTTATCCATTCACCTTGAAAACTGCTACCTGGCTAACGACTAGGCAAGACAACAAGGGGAAGTAGTAATGTAAAGAAAACGGTACATTTGGTATGCAAAAACAATCTCTTTCATATTGCACTCCTGAAGTCTTCTAGAAATGTTCAGAAATGTAAAGCCCAGATATTTTCAGGAACGTCCGGAGATATGTGTGTCTGCTGCTCTTTCACAACTTGACACACTCTACTGGGCTCAGGTGAGGTGGGTCAGCTGTGTAGCGCATGCAGAGAAGTTATACGTTTTATATAATTGTGACTGTATATCTGTGTTAAAATCACTACAACATGTATGCAGAAGTTTCCTCAAGGCAAACACATCAGTGGAAAACAGTATCATGACAAACCAACACGAGCAGTAAAGAGTATAAAGCATCGAACCTAAGCTCACTCCGCCCATCCTGTAGCCCTGAACTTCTCTTGAGTTATACCTGCTGCGTTCACTCATCAGCTCACACAGACTTCACACGGAAATTTACTAGGAGACTGCCAGGAATAATTCCAGATTAAGTCGGGATGAAAAATGTGTCCGTTTGCATTCACACATGCAGCTCGGCCCAAAGATTTCAGGGCCATTTTCAGGAGTTTTGTGTTAGTGTGAAAGCACCAAAAGTAAAAGAATCAATACAATAATAATTAACGTCTGTACATTTTAATCTTTCGTTAAACTACTGTTTGTCTATTTTGGTCGTTGTTGTTGCGACACAGGTAAATATTACCACCATGTAAAGCATTTCTCCCGACATTAGCTTTTTGAATAGCCGTTAATCTCTGTTGAAGTAGCCTCAGAGTGCTGACATTACACAGTGGTTAAGATAAAGCAGAACAGAGGTCAGTCCAAGAGCGCCTCATTTTATTCTCATGGCGGTAGAAGAAAAAAAATAGGAGATAAGAGGACATAGCAGAGTTTTATTTATCTTTCAGTCGAATGTTAAAAGATCAAAAAGGAAAGATGTGAAAGAGGAAATGTGTGATGTGTGTTCAGAGTTTCAGGAGGTGTTGACAGAGTCAGTCTTCTTAAGAGTAAATGTTTTGCACCATATGTGTGCAAACAGAACAGGTAAACGAAAAAAAGTTTTTGTCCTTCAGGGGTGATCGGCAGGGCACCCACACCTCCTCCTCTGCAGAGACACACTCGGCTAAATGAGGTGAAAAGGAGAGGCGTGCGATCGATTCAAAGCTGTCAGGCAAAGATTGTGATGACAGGCCCTCAGAGAGAGGGCTGCTGCGAGAATCGACTGACGAAATGACATTTCCCAGTGTCGCAACTTCAACTTCTGCCAAGACTTCAATGAGGAGTGGGAGGCATGAAAAAGCCGATCAGATACGGCTCTCAAGAATTACTCGGCTTTTGTTGTAAAGCTGTAAATGAGTGCAGCTAAAGAGGCTCTGAGCCAACAGGACAGCACTCACACAGATGATAAGTCACACCAAAAAAAAGAAAAAGAAAAAGGGACGTCATAGAGGTTAGACATTAAACATTGTGAAGTTTAGATGAGTCACATTAAAAGTGGCAGTCCTGCTGGTGCTGTTTTGCTTTCCTGCTGAGTCTGTATCTTTTGCTTTTGCTCTCTAATCCAATTGTTCCTCGGCCCAGACGGCCCTGCTGCTACCGTGCTACGTGCTCGCTCTCACATTCACATCCGTCACCACTGCCAGTCAAGCCCGTCAGCGGGGCTGGGGGGGGGGAGTCCGATCATATCTGAGATCGACAGAGCGTCAAAACATGCTAGACCTGTCCAGAGGTTTCAGACTTGCCGATTAACCTGCCCCCTCTGTCAGTCTGAACGGGGTCTGCTTGTCAGGCTGTCAGACTCTTTGAGGCAAAGGGGATGAATGGGATAAGAATAACTATGAACCCTGCGAACCGTCTCTTCCCCCCGCATGTTTTTTTTTTTATCTCTGCAATATGAATATTCTGCCTTAAGTTTATCTCACCTTGCTTTGACATAAATCCCCAAAATTGCAGCTTTTTCTCTGCTAAAGTCTGTGTTAGCGCTCCGGGCCTCTGGGAGCGATGAGGAAATATCGATGTCTGCTTCCTCTTAAGATGCCTGCAGGCAAGAAGCTCCCAATAGGAAAAGAATCTGAACTCTGGAACCCTGTTTTTTCCTTCCTTCCTCTCTGTGCTTTTCCTTTTACCAAACTGTAAGAATGTACACACACACACACACACACACACACACACACACACAGATGCTCCAAAAAGTACACATGCCTCCATTGCTTCCCCTGCCTCCCTCTGACATGTGATTGTCAGAAGCTGTGCTGTCACTTCCCACTGACAGACGACAAAGCTCTGGGGAAGGAATTCATTTTTGGAAGCGATTGCTCACCGGGGCTTCACACCTCTAGGCCGGCTTTAGCTCCCTCCTTAGGACAGGATCTGCCTTCCATGATTGGTTCCTTCTTTATCCCAGAGCATTCGTCTCCCTCTCCACATAACCCCCCCGGCTTTAAGTGAAACGAGTAAGGGATAAGACCCAAGTTCAAACAATCTGTCCGCTGACTTTGTGGAACTTTCTATCCCATGAAACACACACCTGCCGTCGTTCCCGCAGTGACAGATACAGGCAGCTGATGGTGTCGTTGCACCTGCTCTGATTAAAACCATGACTTTCATTTTCAGCCGTCTTATGATCATTGTATACAACAACCAGAAAAGATAGTGAATGCTTCACCTGTTTGCTCGATTACTGCTTTATATCCGCTCCCTTATCTAAGAGAAACTGTCGGAGGAACACAGGGAGCAGTGCTGTGAGAGGAAAAAAAACTCCTAAACAGGCTGTAATGAAGCATCTTCAATTCATGAAATTAGGAGGGATTTTTGTTAACTTCATAATTATGTTGTACTCTTAATCAAATACCTCAATGTAGATTATCCTGAATGACTTTTAAGAACCCCTGGAGGAGGAATGTCACCTTTAAGCATTCATTGTGGGTTTATCAGCGATTTTCAGAGTAAAATTATTTTTCTCAGAAATAGCATGACTCAGACCTCAACGACAAGTCACAACTTTGTGGCCAAATTGCATTTTAGGGGCTTCTATAAACCAGCTCTCTCAGAACGCGCCGTTTTTGTGTGTGTGTCTCTTTAAATGCAATGAGTCCATCCTGAGTTTTGACTTACGCAGACCACAAACAAAGGAATGGATGGGTTTATTTCCCATTTTGTGGGTTGATAGACCATCTCAAGTAGGACTACAGTCTTATTAAGTTATATGTTTAGTAAAAACTCCTGAAAAACTCCTGAATTTTTTCAGGGTGAGCAGCATGTGTGAACACAAACAGCTGATAATAGTGCTAGTTTCTGGTTTTGCCTCCAGCAGCTAAGTGTAGCTGTAACTCGTGTTAGAAGTTGTCAGAGCAGAGCATGGGGACCTCTACAGTTTTGGGGTGATAGATATGAAGTGACAAAATAATTTGTTCCCCATTCAGAATAGCATAACTGCTGGGGTTTTTTTTATCAGTAATGGAAATGACTATGCATTAATATTCATCTCGGCCCTCTCTTCTCCCCCATCTTACAATTAGGAAAGAACGCACATGCAACCACACACACTTTTGAATCACCTCATCCAAGCATAAACACACACTTGCAAAAGTACACTTCCCTCCGCCCTCCCGGCACGCTGGCAGTGGTAGAGAGAGTTCCTGGGAGGAAGAGAGCCGGAGTCTGTCTGTGTACACAAACCGAGCTCCCATGAGGCTCATTATGCTTCACGCTTTGCTCCGACCATAACGACTCCCCTGACTGCCTCTGATGGCAGCTTTACCCCCAAACCAAAAGAAAGCCCCGGAGGAACTTCATCTAAATGACTCATCAGATAGAGACGCCTGAACAGCAGGTGACTGAGACCATCTGGGGCTTGAACAGGGTGGGCTTATATTCGCTACAGTATAGAGATACATCATTGTCATTTGCTGGTCAGATATGTTCAAAGAAAGTTCTCCTCTGTTCAAGAGGTGACGTGTTATGTTTCTGGAGGTGGTTTGGACCACTGGTAGAGAAAAAAAGACGAGAAGTTAATTCACATCAGAGAGTCTTCATCGTCTATGTTGGGGTACAGTCAAAGCATTTTCACCTTTCAGGATTCAGGAGGACTTTTGGCTGAATATCTTAAGTTGTGCTAAAAACAACGGGCGACCTCAGGTGGGCCGATGTGGACCAACCTGCACTTCCTGAAATGTCCACTTGAGGCTTCAAAAGCCAGGAAAACCCTTCAGGTCTCAAATGAAAATGCTAATTTTAAAAAAAAAACATGTTTACAGCCTAGTTCAAAACCAATGTGGTATCAACTGCTCATTTCTCTACTGGTTGACACTGTATGAGCGGTTAATTATTTCAGAACTAATCTATTTTGATTGTATTGAGCCCTATTTCTAAATTTATTGACTTGTATTTATGTTGTTGCTTTTTGCCAGGAGGCTTGATTTCCTTCCAAGCTCCACCTCTTTACCCTGTACTTTTTTCTTCTTATTTG